CTTAAGTCATACGGTAAAAACATTGGCGCGATTCGGTTTGGGTGCGTCGCATTTTGCACTTTCACCACTTCCCATTCCCAAGTAGAGAGCTGTGAAATCTTGAGGAAGCATGAAGTGATACCGTTTAACGTTTATACAGGCTACTTGGCAACTCTTAGGGAAATAACTGTCAACTCTTGTAAAGTAATGAACATGACCATGAAAAGTAGCGAAAGTGCAAAGTGCCACCCCCCCCCAACTCAACTGCGCCGAAACATTACCTCCCATCATCCCGCTACTTCCTGCCATTTCGTTGGCGAGTGTTATTCTATTGAACTTTGAGGGCCCTTATATCTTCATTAAGGCAGCGTGCTTTGGCCAAACTGGTCCATTACTTAGTTAGGATTCCTTTTGGGAAATTCTTTTCGTTACCTTCATAACTGGAAATCTTACATCTCTTCCACTTTGAACGCAGTAATGTACCTGGTCAGTTGCACTCAACCGATCAAGCATATATGTGCAGGCGGAGTTCAGGCTATGTACCATTGCGACTTCCGCGTTTTTCCAGAGTTCCTCTTCACAGGCTCAGGAAGGAGGAGCCTGCCAGTGAGGAAGTCACAAAGATGCAGCGAAAGAATCCACCAAGATAGGCCCCACTCCGCCCACACGATCAGCGTAAGCTGTGCTTCCAAAGTCAACAAGAGTACCTTGACGAAACCCGAAAAACAAATGCTGAAGATATCTTCAATGAGCAGCCTGGGTATAACACAGGTCAGTGATACTCCAGGTTCAGAGGAATTTCCTTCGGTGGGATGCTAATCGAAATGCTAATGGAACAACTAGCACAGACATCATTTGGAAGTGGAGTTGAGGGACAGATGCCATGAGCTACACTCCTCCGCCCTGGTGAACCAGCCCTGGTTTCCTCCCTTCTTTGGCGAGTGCCTTCAAATTCTCCACCTCTAATATGAATACTGTAAAAGCAACCAGAAGAATATTGCAGAGCGAACAGACATAAAAGAGACTTAACATCACGTGGAGAAGGCTGTTAGACCACGAAAAAAATGGGAATGCCAGTGCGCAAAAGGGTATAAACGCGACAAAAGTGACACTGAACGGGCGCTGTTTATCGACGGGGGGGGCATTTTGTACTATCACTGCTTCCCTTGCTCCGGTTTGCAAATCTCACTTTGGTAAAACTTGTGAACGCTTGTTACTTAGATGGGTCGACACATCTATGGAAAGCAAATGCCCCCCGTCGATAAACTGCGCCCACTGAAA